CTAATTGTCCGATTTTAACGCATTATTTTTGGTTTTTAGGAAAATTTCAAACCTCATAAATAAAAGTTTTTTTATAAATAATTTACTTGAACAATTTTTAATGGAAAATTAATCCAGATTTACATTTTTATTAACTGAAAATATAATCATTAGCATATATATATATATATATATATATATATATATATATATATTATATATATATATATATATATATAAAAACATTGTAATAATTTTGCTATGTACTTACATAGCAAATATTTACAAGATATGGAACAGTATGGTATGTATTATTTTAATTCGAAAACATTAAAACTTTTTACTTTTCTAATAGAGCAATCCTGATTAAAAAAAATAATAATAAAACTTAGCATTTTATAAGTTTTTATAAAGTTAGTATTTAAATATATTTCTGTATCACCGGAATTTATTAGTTTTCCACTCTGAGTACTGATCAATATAATAGTTATGCACTTCTATCATAATTTTAATTTTTTAAGTGAAAACTTCTTTAGGCCCGTTTAACACTTTTTTCGTGGAGAATGAATTAGATTGAGCCATCAGATCTCCGATGTGATACGCTCGGGTAAAGTTGGCTAATTTAAGTGATTTATGGTATGTGGATTAAAATATCTCTGGAACTAAAAATCGGACCTGCATACTGTAAGCTAGGTAATTGATTGTTTAACATTTCATCATCTTTATAATGGGTTATTATTCAAAATTGTATCTTATTGCGATGCCGCGTTAAAAAGGTGAAAAGGAAATAATTGTGTCGAAAACCAAATTATTGCTAATTTATGGACGATATTCACTAAAATATCTCAGAAACTAAAATTCGGACCTGAATACTGTAAGCGAAGGAAATATTCAGCATTCCTCTTTATAATGACCTATTATTTATAATCTATATTTCATATTATTAATCTCGCCTTGTTGGATGTTTTCACTTAAATTGTTTGGTCTAAAGCACACACCTCATTTTTTTTTTATACTTGCAACATTTTAGACGGAATAGGTAAAAATTCTTTTTTAATGACATTTAGTAAAAACTTTATAAAGCTAGAACTTTTATTTAACAACTTTGAAAACAATTTTAACTTTAGCCGCTTATTGATATAAGTTTATTGTTTAAGTGCTAAAGTTAAAGTTGACCTCATTTGTAAAAAAATGATTGTTTCTACCGCTGAGAAACAGTAATTGTCGAAGAAGAAGTAAAAACCGATAATGAATTGTTCACAGAAATTGGTCAATCAATAAATACCTGATGATACGAAGGCAAGAGTTTTAAGGGTTATGTGTGAGGCTCGTTGAAATCCACCAGGAATTTATTTACATACAACCAAAAAAACGATAAATGAAAAGATAATAAAATAAATTTTAGTAAATATATTTTCCATAGGAATTTGTATTTGTTGGGCGGCTGGCTTACTTGCCTTCCATCTCTGAAGAGATAAAGCTAGAAAAACATAAGGTACTTACCCATTATTTGGCCATCATTAAATATTTATTCTACCATGCTAATTCAGGTGAGAAGGGATTAGGATGGATATTTTTATAAAGCAGCAAAAAAAGGTTAAAAGATCTATTTACAGAATTAACACTATGTACAATAAAAAGAAATAAAATACAAGGAAAAAGAAAGAATTTAAACATAATTACTATATATAATTAAAGATAAATAGGAAGATATTTAAGATAATAAAAATAACAAAAAAAGATAATTATTCTATATACAATAGTATGACATGCCACATCTAAACATCAAGAAAAGATAGTCAAGATACAAGAGATATAAGATGTAAAGGGGACCCTACACGGTCAATCGGAATTGCACTAATGACGTTCCGAATTGTCGTGTAAGGTAGTGAATGAAGTACTGATGGAGGTGCGCTGCGGATTTCCGAACATCCGGAAATCAAAGGTTCATTCGCGAGAAGTGGAGGGGGGACTGAGGTAAAAGTAGTGGGGAGACTAACCATACTGCTGGATAGGTTAGGTTACCTAGTTCTCACAACCATGTAAATAGTTAAATAATGTTTCATATCACTTGTTTATAATTTTAAACCATCTTCAACTATGTCTTTTAAAGAGTCAAGTGGGCAACAAATTAAAAAAAAAATGAGGAAACTTCACAATTTACTTGAAAGGAAAAAAAAAACTTTAACGTTGTGTATATTTATCAGTTCTTTTCCCATTTTCCTCCACAAATTTATTATTTTCGCAATACCTTTCCTTAATTTTTGTATAAATAACTTTTGTCAAAACGATTTTCTATGAGACTAACCTAACTACTAGATAGGTTAGTTTACCTAGGTCTCGTTATTAAGGAAATAATTTCATAAAAGTAAATAGTTGTTTATATCCCTAGTCTATATTATTATTAACCATTTTCAACTATTTTTTCTTTAAATAGTCAAGTAGGCAATAAATTAGAGAGAAAAAAAAGTGGAAACTTCACAATTTACTTATAGAAAAAAAATCTTTAACTGTTGTGTTTATTTGCCATTAATTTTTCCATTTTTCTTAACAAATTGCAATACTTTTCATAGATTTTTGTATGTAGTTGACTTATATTTTGGACTAACTTTGGTCTAAACGATTTTCAGGCACTAGGAAGTAATTATTATATCTCCGTTTTTCTCTTGATGCCCAATATTATAAATGATAATGTCCAAATAAGCATATCTATGCTGTTTCTTTGTTTACAACTGCGCTAAATTGGTCAGCAACGATCTAACCTAAATCAGCAACGATAAGTAATGATCAGCAATGATTGAACGTGTAAGGGTCTTCATGATCAAAGCGATAGCGGGCAATCTTGGAACTTCTTGTGACGTTCATTCATGAATTACCGTGTAGGATCTGTTTAAGAGCACATGCACATGCTAAAAATATCAATTAGTAATCAGCCACAGAAAACAAAAGAGAGAAGAATTATATTTGTTTTCAATGCTTCCTTAATCTTGGTTACAGCCTCTCCACTACAATGAATTTTAAATAATTAAAAAACAACGCCTCACTGGCCAGCACAAAACTACAGCGGTTGAAAGGTTACTATTAGAGGCATCACCGAAATATGTTTAAAAAAATAACTAAGAAAATTAATAAGAAGCTAAAAATTAGTTTCGAATAGTCAAATAAAGGAAAGATAAAAAAGGTTTAAATGGACGCGGTAATGACAAATCCATTTTACACAACCTCTCCGTTATCATCAGCAGTTCATAATCTGCGTCCATTATGTTATATCAATCCACAACACTCGTTACAAGCTGATTAAAGTCTGTACATTAACTGAAAATGACATATTGGGAGTTTGTGGAATTCCTGAATGCCCAACTAAATAAAGGGAGGTTATTCCGTGAACATGTCAATACTCGGTCATTCTCGGAATTCCATTTAAAATGGGATCTTGTGATCTCGCCTCCATTTCTGAAAGTGGAACACCACTTGTTTAATATTAGCGAATACAGGATGATTAAAGCAAACTGTTAAACTGATTGATTTAGCTTGGTCGGAGGATATCTAACTGATATTGAGGAAATATCCAGTGGGGTAAGCTTATATAATGATTTAAATGTTACTTCAATGGTCTTTATATAAGTATATAGTTTCATCAATTATGGATGGTGAATAGATATGATATATTCTTTAAAATAATTGACATATTTCCCCTAACGTTTCACATACATCTAATTTAGTTGGGAGAAAAACAATACGTTCTCTCACGGGTATATTAGTGTTTGATATTAATATCATTGGCAATAATCTTTTATTTATGTATAAACACACATTTCATTAAAAATGTATATTTCTCCCAATATTGATAATCACTTGATGCTCATAAATAAATAAATAAAAACAAAGTATTTTATAACTAGAGACATAATGAACAAAAGAGTCGTTTATTTCAAAAGTAAATCATAATCATAAATACCAATTTTTCAAGAAATGCAAAAAATTATATTTTCTTTTCCAATTTTAATATCGAAACTAATATTTTTCAAATAATAAATTAGGAAATTCTTTATTTCTAGCACATATTTTAAAAAATCTCTTATTATTTCCATTGTGATTAAAAAATATTGAAACTGAAACAGGGCCACTTTTGTATAGAATTAAACTTTTTTGAAAGTTTTTAAACAAAAAAATTATTGGTTTGAGAAGAAATGGTTTATAATTCGGTGGGAAAGAGTTATAAATATTGTACTATTAAAAGTTAAATTTTTGTTTACAATTATGGTGCAATAAAATAAATTTATTTTTAATTTTAATGAGATGGTTAAGCATTGTTTGATAGGTTACGTTTTCAAGAATATTTAAAAAATGAAAGTTTCATTACATTCGTTTAAAAAAAAAAAAATCCTGTTACGGGAATATTTTCTCCGTCCTTATTTGAATATTTAGGATCGTATTCGAATAATAAAATTAAAAGCATCATCGGATTCCGTGGGTGTTTTTACACTAGAATCGATACTTGATTTGATTTCTATAAAAATCGATAAGGGTTCACTACGGCAATAAACGACTCAAATATAACCTATTTAATAGTTATCTTTCCAGTGTTTTTTATGATGCATGAAATCGACTTCATTATCAGAATAGGTTGTTTCGTCAAGACACAAGCTAGGATATAAGTACAATATTGTACTTAAGTTCTTATATAATTGCTTGTGTTGTTAGTTTTTGGAAAAACTAAATAGAATAAGAATAGAGTACACACTACTTTGAACTATAAAATTTTCCTTAACTAGCTACTTATCGATTTCCAACCCTCCATCACAATTTTTAACTTTTATTTAACCTAATAAACTTGGATGTTATATTTTCACACGTTACCACTTTGTGATAATTGCACTGAACAATTTTCATAGAATTTATCAAGATTGACTTTTAACGATGGTAATCTTCCTGGGTTTAGTTAATGATCAAAAGCACACAAAACTTTCAAAGTTTTCAGAAAATTAAGGCACAAACCCGATTCTAAAACACCGAATAAATTTTAATGATTGCGCTTACTCAACCATATGTTAGACAACTATGTTGTGATAAGACTATGTTTTATTTCATAATATTTTGTTATCGTTTAAGTAGATGACGTAAGGGAGTTTAGTTAATGAAGCAAAATTTCAGAAATAGTCAACAGCCCTTATATGATTTCTGGTCATGAAATGGCCATACCTACGCATCCTCATGATATTGATTTTAGCATGGTGAGTAAAGTTAATGAAATAATTATTACAAGATTAGTATCTTCTAAAGCCAGATGATTTTCTGGAACAGTTCCAACACCGAGATATTTAGGTACTTTATAAAAGCAAAATCGCATCACGGAGTTTATCAAATTCTAACTCCAAGTTGTTTTTTATCCATAAGGGGACCCTACACGGTAATTCATGAATGAACGTCACAAGAAGTTCCAAGATTGCCCGCTATCGCTTTGATCATGAAGACCCTTAGACGTTCAATCATTACTGATCATTACTTATGTGGAATTTCCACTTTTTTTTTCTCTCCAATTTATTGTCTACTTGACTTTTTAAAGAAAAAATAGTTGAAAATGGTTAATAATAACATAGACTTATAGTTAATAATAACAACTATTTACTTTTATGAAATTATTTACTTAATAACGAGACTTAGGTAAACTAACCTATCTAGTAGTAAGGTTAGTCTCATACAAAACCTAACCTAACCTATCACTTCTCGTGAATGAACCTTTGATTTCCGGATGTTCGGAAATCCGCAGCGCACCTCCATCAGTACTTCATTCACTACCTTACACGACAATTCGGAACGTCATTAGTGCAATTCCGATTGACCGTGTAGGGTCCCCTTTATCCTTGCCATTTTGTTTTTTTAGTGAAAAATATATCCAGGAAATATCCTCTTAGTTCTATTATTTATTAAAATCCTTCCATGCTATTGAGGCAATACGGGTTTTGCAGAACTGGGTTATTGCACACGAATGCATAACCATTTCCTTAAATGAAAACAATTTTCATATTATTGTCAGCAATATTTTTTATGCTTCTTATTACGCTCCTCGTTCTGGCCGCCTTCTAGGAGTGAATCCTCGATTGTGGATTTGAAGTGTGCTGAACCAACAGCTTCTTTCAACAAATTATTTGTAGTACGAGTAGTTTCCAAACCTCATACCATCAACAACTCAATGATTTTCATAATTATATCATAAACAACACTGGAGAGGAATTATTAAATAGGTCATATTTCAGTCGCTTATTTCCAAAGTTAACCATAATAGATTTGTTCTATTAACCTCATAACAAGAAATAGTGTGCAAGAATACATTAAAAAACCTTTCTCCTCTACTTTTCCCACTCCATTATTTTACCAATTAAAAGATAATAAGTTTTGTTCATTATGATTAGAAAAACACGTACATACATTCACGGTCACAGAAATTGCATCACCTACTTCTCTTGATTGCTATGTTGATAACGCTGATTCCATTGAATGTTTTTTTTTATTTCTTTATTTATAAAGGTCACAAGAAAACTTTAAAAATGTTTCTCAGTTCAGTTTTAACGGATGCTAGGATAAAAGGTATAATTTTTTTTTTTTTTTTTTTAAGTATGCCTCTTAACGGTTCCTACCATCAGAGATTTTGATGCCCAATACCATTCTGATTTGGACGACGTGGTATCTCTCATGTTCACCAAGAGGGAGCATACACCTAAATGCGCTGCGTCCATATTTGGACGACGTGGTATCTCTCATGTTCACCAAGAGGGAGCATACACCTAAATGCGCTGCGTCCATATGTGATCCCGAATTAGGTAGGTTACAATGTGGAGATTCTACCACTCCTATTCTATGCAGTGCTTCCTAAGGTAGTCGTGGCCTGTTATCATCCGGAACTCTGCCACAGCCTCCTTTTTCGCCAGGTTCATGGGAACTTGATCAGCTTCATTTAACAATTTTCTTTAAAGATTTTCAGTAATACAGCTCTTTACGGAATCCTCACTTGCCTTATTTATTTTTTATTTTGGCTCAATGAATATATATTCTATTTTGTGGTTGGTTTAATGTGGAGCCCTCCTTCGCGAGTTTATCAGTAATTTCGTTTCCATGGAGACCACAGTGACTTGATATCCATTGAAATAATACCAATAACAAATAATAAATAATAAAAGCTATAATTATGACCTGCATCAAAAACTGTCCTCGTCGAAAATCATTAAAATTAGTGTTGCAGAGTGTTGCAACACCAAGACCAATACCGCTTATTTGTTGCAAGAACAAGACCAAGACTAGTAAAGAAAAAAATAGATTTTTTGTATGAAAATTGAGGTAAAATAGTTACTAATACTTGACATTTTAGTTACTATATGTAAAATATTGGTGTAACCAGTACACTTTTGCATTTAATTCTTCTAATTTTTCATTCAGACTTAGTTAGGTTTTTCATTTCTAAAAAATTACAGTAAATCTCTCTAGTAATAAGCTAATAGGTAACTGCAAGACTGTTACGAGAATCTTGCGCAAGACCAAGACCTACATCAAGACTGAGTTTGCAAGACCAAGACTCGTCTCGGTCTCGCATTTGGGCAACACTAATTAAAATTGTGACATTACATGAAGTGAAGGAATTTTCAAGGGAAATAGTAATGAGGATAGATTACCACCATTCATAGTTTTGAAGAAAAAAACGGTACCATGGAGTGTATATCGTTTCGAAACTGGCAAAGAAATATCCGGATATATCGTAGATAGCAATCTGATAAATAAAATAAAATTTTATAAAAAATTTACTGGGTGGTGGAATTTCTATGACTGTTACTGTATACAGGACATACATTAATCTAGGAAAATTACAAATGCTTTTCTGTTCTAGAAAAAATATTAAATATGGGATTTAATAAGTTTTTATAATTTACATCTTACTACTAATCCTATTACTACCTGATCTAATCCAGGGAAAACAAATCCCATAATGTTACAGTATACCTCTATCAAGTCTTTTGGTACCTCTGTAAAAGTGTCACTCCACTTTGACGAATGGGTCAAGATCCCATAATCCCGCCATAAATAGGATTGCGAGAATAGCTGAGAATTTACATATGTTCACAGTATAACCTCCCTTTATTTAGACCACGATTTACGACTTTAGCAAACTCCCTACTGGTGCTTTTCTTTTATAATTGAGACGTTAATTAGCTTTAATTACTTCCCTGTTTCGCCTTTCGCTCGCTCAAGATGGATGAACAAACCCTCAACAAGTCCTTTTCAGTTAAGGTCGGGGCCTAACCAGACGGTTCGGCAACTTCCGTTAACTTTCGGATAAACTCGGTCATTCTCGGGATTCCATTAATGATGTGATTATACCATCAACCAAAATGGAGTGACACTTGTACAGTAATACCCTTTTTTATTTTTTTTTATTTCCTTCATATAATATTCGCTTTTTATAAAAACTAATGATCAGGTTTTCAGAAGCGAAACAGCAGAAAAAAAATCTGGAGAAAGTCCTTCATGAAGTTATCGCTTCCTTGCTACTGGACGAGACTTTAGATCGGCATCCAAGAAGTAACGATACGCTTAGCACGCATGCGTCCAGCACCCAATCAACTAAAACAACAATATATAACTACTGGCTCTTGCCTTCCAACTATGTATCAATGACACCAACCAAAATGACGACAGAGGGCCTCAACTACTGGCTGGATCGGATGCCTCCGTCGGGTCCTGTCTTATCTGGCATCGAGAAACTCAAGGACCAAATAAGGTAAACTCAGTTTTATGGCATCATCCATATGTGAGTTATTCTATCGAAAATCGGCAGTTTATATCCATTTTCTCACATCAACAATGTTTGGCCGCATTAATTTTTATGACTTAATTTGTCATCGACGTGAGACTAAACATCATTGTTTTGAATACAAACCACCAAATTCTCATTCCTTTTCCAGACCGAGATCGCGCTCATCTACTTTCAAAGATTGTTTCGTTGTAATCTACCATGACAGTGCTAATCTATCTCTAATAAAGTGTTACCACAATCTTTGAAATAATGAAATTATATTTCATTCTAAGATGCTAAGTCCACAAAGAATAATATAGATATATATATGCAGTATTATTTTTCTGGCATATAACAATGAAATTAAATAACAATAGTAAAATTGTAAAATATATTAAAGGCAAGGGCAAGTAAGTGAAAAAAATGATAAATCATAAACCAATAAAGGCGTCGGTAAATTTACTAATTTTCTTTTATAAACGATATGAACGATCAACAGGAATTAAGTTATAGGTATCACTAATATCATAATACACCATACTTACATGTATTCGAAATATTGATTGTTTAGGGATTGAGGAATAGTTGGTGTTTAGATGAGTTTAATGATGGTGTATATGAAAAAGGAGTTTTAAAGAGTATACATTACAACAAGTAACGCACAAATCAAGAGCCTTATTTTGATTAAGTAACTTGTTCGTTCGTTATCTCTCGTCCTCATACAACACTATATTAGGTAGGTTAAGCTGTTTATGGACACTCAACTGCTTAGGTCTTGAGTGTCTTTCTACGGTGTCATACAACACTATCTTCTTCTATGAATGTTTCAAATATGTTTTTTCTTTTTTAATGGATAATACAGTAACCTTACAAATAAAGTTTTGATTTTTGAGCTGATAGATCACTAAATCATTACACATTGGAGTCGAAATCCTCATGTCTTTGTCATTACTATTTTATCTATCTATCTATCTATACCGGCTCTACAACCCGCTTAGCGAGCCATGGCCTCCGCCAACAGCATCCGCCAGGTTTCCCTGATTTGTGCTGCCACCATCCAGTCTCGAACCCCTAGCTTCCTGCCATCTTTGACCACGCTGTCCCTCCATCTTAACTTTGGTCTTCCTACTCGTAGCGCTCCATGCAGGATTTCAACCAACATCTTCTTCGGGATCATGTCGTCTCTCATTCATTCAACATGACCTGCCAATCTGAGACGGCCTGCTCTTATAAAATTGACAATATTGGCCCCATTAAAACGCTGGTAGATCTCCTGATTTTTCCTCCTTCTCCAATCTCCATTCACACACACTGGACCATAAATTCTTCTTAGAATTTTCCGTTCGAATATTAGGAGGTCCTGCTCGGCTGCCTTGGTTATCATCCAAGTCTCTGAAGCATAACTTAAAACAGGTCTGTTAAGAGTCTTATAGAGGATTACGTTGCTACACTCAGTCACCAGAGTGTTTTCATGTGTTGACTCATATCATAATAGCAACTGTTGGCCAGCAAAATTCTCTCATTTATCTCTGTATCCATCTGGCTATCAACAGTTATCTGCGATCCCAGGTTTGTGAATTATGATACATCAAAACCTGTTCAAACCTGAAGGGTCCAAAACTCACCCTAATACCATGTCCTTGGATCTTTTGGGTTACCAAGTATTTCGTTCTTTCCTCGTTGACATTACTATCTTAAAAGTCGGTAAATAAATAAAATGCATTACTTTGAATTCGGATTGTCTACTAAAGCCTAGGATCCAACGAACCCTTTATAACCTAAAAATCTTTTTAAAATGAAATTCGGTAGCTCTCAGTTTTAGTAAACTTGTTTAGAATTGATTTTTGTAAAAAAAAAGCAAAAAAAAAGAAAAAAACAGTAACATTTTATTTAATGAAATTCCAATCTTCCTGATGCCCATGAGAGAATCACCCATTTATTACATATTTAGTTCGTTATTTTTCTTTTAAAATCATTTCCCTTAATTTTCACATTTTATTTATATTAAACTTGTTTATTGAAAAATATTACAATCTGTCTCAAGGACATTTATAATAGTAGGACATTTTAGGCGTCAAAATGGAAATTTAAACTTAATGACATTCTATTGGCATTGTTTATTTCTCCGTTCAATATTTCCAAAAAAAAAAACCTTTCCAAAACGACCGGGCATTTTTTATGAGGTTTATTTTACAATATTTAGTTTAGTGTAAATGAATACTGAAAACTGATCTTGTCTAAATCAAAGGTATTAAGAAATATTTTTTCTTTGAAAGAATTTATAAAATATGTTCCGCCCTTAAAGCAGAGGGAAGGGGGAAGTAACAATTAAGAAATGTTATAGATTATAATAGGATAACTTACAGTGAGCTGCCCCACTTCCATAAGTACTGATGGTATTTTAACTAAAATATATTTTAACCAACTTTTTCAGATTCCAAGCCCTAGTAAAGAAAACTAACTCAGAGTTCATAGCCTTCTTAAACAAACTAATCGAAGACAAGAAAATTGAACTGAACGAAGAAGATAAGGAAATACAGGACGAGTATGCTGAGCTAAACAGGACGAGGGAAGCACTATTCCGCGCCTATAATAGGCAGCTCCCAGACAAAAAAATAGAAGAGCTTCGAAGGAAACTTACGGAGAAAGCTTTGCAGTATAAGGAGTTGATGTCCATGCACAGGCTGAGGCGGTTGACCAGGGGCATCCACCTGGACGCTCCGTGGATCGACATCAACTACCCTGGAGGGGCCATCCATGAGTCTCTTCGAGAAAAGAAGTCGAGGAACGAGTTTTACGAGAGTGACATGGACGGTGGTAACTTTTAAAAAATATTTTTGTTCTTTTGAAATATTTAATTTTGATTTATGTCATTCTGATTTCAAAGCAATTAGCCAAGTCACAAAAATATTTTTTATTTCTGAAAAAATTGTAGTGATGGAACTTGTCAAGGTAGAATTCCACTATTAAATGAATCCGAAAATACCGTCCGCAGTTCCTAGACTACTGTGCCGATTGTTTTGCGATTCGGTACCAAAGTGAGAAATCACGCTAAGATGTTCCTCAAAACTCGGGATTAGCATCCGCCCTATCGTTTCAAACTGGCTACGTTTTTATACGTTCTAATACGTTTTTAGCTAAAGGTTATATTGGCTGTAACTATTTTAATAAAACTTGCCTATAGTTTCATCCTTAAGTGGGCGGGTTGGCCGAGTGGGCTAATGCGTGTAGAGTTAAAGCCCTCCTCCTCTCCTCCTCTCTCCCCCGACACCGAGACGAGAACTCATAATTATTTCATCTGTTAATCTGGTAATTAATTATAACCTGAGCAACGCGGTGATGTGCTAACGCTTCAGCGCGCTCGGCCACCCTACCCTTAAAACATCCATTGCCCAGCAACATTTTTGTTTTGTCCTTCCCTTCCTTACCTTTAAGGCTATATGGGGTTTTCCTGGGCCAGGGGGTGAGGGCGGGGATTTAAAAGTCTCCCCTGGCATCGGGACCCAGCAACGGCGGTGCTGTGCACACGCTTTAGTCTATTCGGCCACCCCGCCCTTCATTGCCCAGCAATTTGATAAACTGAAGATTAAGAGTTCGAAGCCCGATGCCGATGGGTATTTAACTCTGAAAATAATTCCCCTGCCCCTCCCCATCCTCCCTTGATCCTAAAAAAAACAACATATAACCGAAACGGCAAGAAATGAAGAAAAATTCTTATTCTTGGAACCCTTTAAATTCATGCCATATCTATCTATGGCGTGGGTACAATTCGGTGAGGAGTGTTGGTCGCCTCCACCAGCTTCCTCCAGTCATCTCTGTTCTGTGCGGCAGTCATTCATCTTCTGACTCCCAGAGCATCCCTTGAATCACTTGCCACAACATCTGACCATCTCACCTTTTCTTCTAATGCGTGATGAACAGGATCATTTTAGGGATTGCTTCGTCCTCAATCCTAGCCATGCGGCCACCCCATCACAGTCTCTCAAGTTTCATTCTCAGAACGACATATTGTTCTCTAAAAATTGAGTAAATTAGAACGTTTGTCCACCTTCTCCAATTTCTATAGATCTGTACTCCTCTAAATATTCTTTGAAGATTTTTTTCTCTCAAAAACTAGGTGATCTTGCTCAATTTGTTGTCATCCATGTTTCGAATGCTTACGGATTAAATTAAATTCTTGTATATCTCGTAAAATAGTTGATGAATGCAAAAATTTCATTTGCTATTAAATAAAGAAGTAAACATTGGTTTCTCGGTCTGATGCTATTATAAAGACTCAAGTCATTGTGTTGAATTTTCCAATAAAAAAAAACAAAACAATTGCTCTATTTTTCTCAATATCTAAATTATAATTATTACCATTTATTATGAAATAAAATATATTTTTTTCACAATATTTGTTGCTCAAAACAATATTATTTTTAGTCAATTTTATATTATATTTATTCCCGCATAAAATATTTTTAGATCGATTTTTGCTAGCAATACAATAAATATCGCACAATATGAAGGTTATTCGATGGTGCTAACTTCGTTGGCAATAAAATAGAAGTAACAATAAAAAACGGAGGGGAGAAATATTTACATTGATCTTACACATAGTGTCTATTTATGTTTCTATTGAAAAGATTGTTTACTGTTTTCACCAACTCTGAAAACGAAAATTGTTATTGAAATACAGGTGAAGTAGAAGAATCAAATTGAGAATTCAGATATTTTTATTTATATTTACTTAACTGAGGATGAAATTTAATTAGTTGTTCGGCACACACGCCAAGCACCTGTGGAGTGCCAAACCTTTGAGAGGGCTCTGTTGTTGAAAGGTAAGCTCAAGTAATCTGTTGTTTTGCTGCTAGCTCAATTTAAAGGCAACCGTTTCAAGCTGCAACCACTTTTAGCACTAGCAATATTTTAGAGACATTTTGTAACAATTATTTATTTTTTTAATAAATAATCATTTGACATACTGTTCTTTTTTCTTTCTAGTGCCTGATGAAGTTTCATCAGTCGTCAGTAGCAAAGCACACCTGCGCAATGATGTCCGTGTCATTAAGAGAGTTCATGGGGCTCGTTATAAAGGTATACTAATATTTATTATCTCGTAATTAATCTTTATTGTTAATTGTTTGAGGCAGTCCATACACATCGCCTTTGAGGAAAAAAAACTAAAACGGGTTTTGTTTTATACCACAGTATAGTGTGGTGAAAACATCTACAAAACGAAATTAATAATATGATAGGTATGCCTGCGTCTAAGATATTCATTTTCATTACTTTTTTTTTTTTCACTATGATATTTTATTTTGTTCTTTTGTAGCTTTATATTATTTGAAGTTAGCTTATTTTTATTTTTTATTTTATTTTTTTTTTTTTAATTTGTAAATATGGTGTGAATGTGCTCTCAGAACTCTATTATAAATGTCCTTTATTGAGACAGATTGTAATATTTATCAATAAACAAAAAATAAAATAAAAAAAATAAAAAATAATATGAAATATAATTTTTTTTGTTCTATAATCATAAAGTAATAACATTGGCAATATATACAATTATAATTGTGTAAAAATTACTCTAGTAAACTTTTCTCTGACTGGTCGACATTTGAATCATACTCCAAAAATTATACAATAAGTTTATGATAACTAAATTATGATGATGAATACTTCTGATTGAAATCTATTTGCTTTTAATCTTTTTGCTGAAATCTATTTTAAAAAACTCCACATTTTTTTAATATAACGTCTGTAATGGTGCTCAGTAATTTGTCGAAACTCTATCGTGTACAACATAAAATCGAATAGAAAAACATAATTTCTTATTTCGTATTTTATACCTAATTAAAAAGAAAATATGTATATTAACTTCAAACAAAATTGGTTCTAAATTCTCCATGGCATTTGAATTTTGAGATATTTTAGTCCAAATGTTGGAACCAATCATTAGTTTTTTTTTTTGTTTTTTTTGGCATTACCCTTTTCCCTCTTCGACTCCCTAATTCGGCTTCATGTCAAAATACAATTTTAAATTATAGTTCATTACAAAGAGGAAGAAATGCTTAAAATATTCCTTGCTTACAGTATCTAGGTCCAATTTTTGATATCTGAGACATTTTAATCCAAATGTAAAAACACTTCAATCAGTCAGCTCCAGCCAACTTTTTTAAATGAGGGTTATTAATCCGCGAATTACAATGATACTAAATCAAAAAATAGTAAAAAGGTCCTAGATTTTGTTTCAAAGAGCCTTAGGAATCTAGAAAAAACAATGAACGTAAGTTCAAAAATAGTTTATGTTATTTATTTTTGCCTTTGCTTAGCCCGAATTTCTTGATTATCATATAGTATTCGATTTCTTATTTTTGTCAAAAATGAAAAAAAAAATATTGCCGATAGTAATGAGTTATAATGTGCCATAAATTATAAAAACCAAAAGACAGTTCAAGTAAAGTAGACTAAATTCCGTAAACCAATTATAACCAAAGGTATAAAATAAAAACGATTGAGTTTTTATTTACTTTCACCTTATAAATAAATAAAATCTAAAAATCATTGACATATCTTGGAAAAGCAGTAAAGCTTTCCAATGAGTGTAATGACCAAAAAAAAAAAGGATAAATAAAAATATAATAAAATAAGCTTTAATAAATATAATTTTCTGTCGGAATTTTTACTTGTTTGGCGCCTGGCTTTACCAGCCTTTCATCCCTAAAGAGATAAGGTTAGAAAATATAAGGTACTTACACATTATTTGGCCATGATTAAATATTTGTCCTACCATGCTAGCTCAGGTGAGAAGGGGTTAGGTTGGATATTTTTATTAAGCAGAAAAGAATGAAAGAAGAAGTCCCCCGTTTATACTGTGTTTATGTTTAAATGTTTTAACGTGAAGGTTTCTAGTCGTTTGGATAGATTTGTTACGTTCTAAAACTCATAAAAAAAATGAAAATCCCAGAATGATACAATGATACCTATAGCTATATCTAACCAACAGAAGAACCACTAAAAACACAAAAAAATTCAAGAAAAAGTTGTTGTTTAAATATTATTTTACTTTTAAAACTTATCAATTATCATATTAGTTATAAAAATGGCCACAAGATAGAATGAAAGGCTATGTATGACTTTTCGTTAACGTTATTGTTCATTTCTTAGTTCTTTGTTAGTGTTGTTATTTTGTTCATAATCTACTAGCTTTGTTGCCGTTATGCTACTTTCTATACATAACTTTGTTATCGTTATTTTATATTTCCTTTAATTTTATTCTACCTGCTTTAAGTTTATTCTACCTATATTTTTTAGCCTGTGCTTTTCACTTACATACTATTATTTTCTTTTTAATTTTCATAGTTTTTCATACTTGTTGTCATCTGTTTTTTTTCCTTAGTCCTGATGAAGGCCTCAACTTTGGGCCGAAACGTCGGCAATAATATAAAAATATATAATTAATTTATTCACTTTTTTTACTGAACACCCCAATCAAGTTCTCTACAATTATTCACTGCAGTCATCCATCAATCCACAATTATAACTTTTTAGTTTAAAAATAATATTCGAAACTACAGATTCTTAGATAAGACTCAAAATCTAGAAGACATGTTGGGGAGGCAGAAGGATGCCAGTGTAGACAAACACTCAAGATTGATGGAAGTACCAAGGCTGTGTGTGTTCAACTCTCTTTGTCCGAATCTAATATACTGAGCCAATAAAACAAGTTGCTCATTGATCTCGAATAGGGTTTTTCAATGGAAGCCATCTAGATACAATGTATCATAGAAGTTTTATTTTAATACGATAACATTTAAAATAGAATAGCTCTTGGAGTCTATTAGTAAATTTGCAATCAAACATTGTTTTCGCTCTGTCTTAATTATAGGAGGAGATAAGGATCACCGAAAACAGCGAAATTTTTCTTAGCGCACACTTCTTTTTCGCGGACAATTTTATAAACATCATCAAAATTCAAATATTTTTCTAATATTAAGGTTTTCCGAATATTGACATTTCTGAACGGACACGGACGTAATGGATGCAAGGGTACATTTTATTAAGTTTCTTCACAAAAGAGAACAGGAAACCAAAATTTTTAAACACGCTTAATAATATATCAATGTCTCCATATATCTGATCGTTTTTTTATTTATTCATGTTTTTTTTATATATATAATAAAAACATTTAAGCGAGATTCGAGCAGATAAGGTAGGTAACCAGATCCCGTCTCTCAGTTCATATATTTCAGCAGAAATTAAAATTTGTTTGCTCTTGAAAAATTGAACTTGTTGTTACATTAATGGAATATATTTTAATTTTATTAAATAGATTTTAATTTATGTATCATTCTTCTCCAATATACAGGGTCAAGTGTCCAAACTGCAAAAATGAACTAAGGATCTCAAAATAAGAGAAAAATTTCCTCTGAAGGTATGCCCCCAAACGCTTATTTAGAAGATATTCACTTCTAAAGATTTTCGTTGCTATGAATTATTTACGTTATATGAGATAAATAAAATCTATTTATTTGTGCCAGCTACTGTAATTATTAAATGTAAACATATATTAAATGTTGTTCAAATTAATTTCCTTGAGTATTAAAACAGGCTCAGCATCTTTCTTCAACAGCAGCAGTGGCAGACGGCAGTGGATATGTGTTATTGTTTCACAAGATTCAATCATCCTTCTCCGTAAGGAATTAAGGTCATTGACCGGACTTGCATAGACTTTTTGTTTAATGTCACCCCAAACAAAAAAATCCAGTGGTGCCAGGTCTGGAAAGCGTGCAGATTGATTGGAAGCGTGCAGATTGATTGGAACATGAGGTATGGGATATGATTGAGCAAGTCCGGTCAATGACCTTAATTCCTTTTAATATTAATATGAATGTTAATGTTTACATTTAATTAATAAAATACTTAGCACAAATAAATATAAATAGAAAATCATCTTTATTCTGGGACTAGGTCCCTTGAGAATAACAATATTGCTTAAACCAATTGACAATAAATCTGGCCAGATGACCTATTATAATAAGGAGTAACTACAATCTAAGTAATAAAATGAGTATATTCATAGTTTTGGAGGGTATATTAAGGAAATCAGATGGGTACAACTGTTACAATATTATAATATTGGTACAAAAGATAACAATATACTTGGATAACTAAATAAAATTGGATTGGAAAGAAATGCTAAATAAGTTTTATAGGTAACCAATTTTGGTGCTACAATATAATAATAAAAATAAATAAAATGAAAATAAGAATAAAAGAAATTAACTAGAGTAAATAAATGATTTATATATGTTCCTTAAGACGTTTAAGTGAAAACATGTGAAGGTATTGTGAAAAAGTAGACAAGTATTGTGATCTATCTATGACGCAATAGATTTCGAGCAGAAAACCCATACATACCCACATAGAGAGGAGAGTGCAGAAGAATGTACTAAAAATAAAACACTTTTAAATAAAATAAAATACACTTCAAAAAATACACTCTTATGAATAGAAAAGATGAAAGGTAACAAAAACAATAAAAAATTATACCTACTTACACTGCTTTGTGACAGGTGATCGAAATTCTGCTTCATACTCAAAACAGAAGAAAAAAAAATGTATAAAGAAAATTAAAACCTTGTGCATAATATCATTATGTATTAATAACTACGTTATTTATTTCATATAACGTAAATAATTCATAACAACAAAAATTTTTAAGTGTGCAGTCATGCCTTCAGAGGATATTTTTTCTTGCTTTGAGGTCTTTAGTTCATTTTTGATGCAGTTTGGCCACTTAATCCTGAAAAACCCTGTATATCAGTATACAGTGTAAGTATTATATGAACTTACACTCTCCTAAAGCGCTCGGACTTTACAGAATTTTAAACGGAAGATTAACTGTTTCTAATAACAAAATTAACTGCTTCATTACTATTGTCAATAATTTTTATTAAACAAGATCAACTGCTACTAATAACTACCTTTTTACACAATATGTATTCCCAGGTAACACAAAACGAACACCAAATGCCTCAACGATGTCAGTGAGCGAGATACTTTGGAAGTCTCTGGGCAAATACCTCCCGTTTAGTGGGAGAAATATAGCGAATTTTGCTGCGTCTATACCTTTGGAATTCCAGTACAGGTAGCTTTTCTCTAAGGTATTTGAATTTTAATAACTTCTAAAGATTATAATTCATGTTCATTTTTTTTTAAATGAAGATGTGGCAGCAATAAGGAGCCATAGTACCACATATAAATAATTTAAAATATTTAATCTCTTCCTTGTCTAAGATAGTTGTGTCAAAGATTTGATTCCATAAGTCAATTAGATAATTAAAAATGCTGAAAATGGTTGCATAATAGTTTATTATTTCCAAATAATAATACATCAAATATATGTGGAATGTTAAACTATACTCTACCACTTCTGGTAAAAATTGTATGACAATTTTAGTCTCATTAAGATTTTTTTTCATTTTCTGTTAAAAATATCCAGGTAACCAAATTATTCCTCAAATAACAATCTTCACTGCTTCCGTAGAAATAATTTTTTCAAGTTAAAAATCAAACTTATTTTACAAAGTCGGTAAAACATTGTTGTTTTAATTATCTTGTATATTACTTTATCTTTTTATTTATTTATATATATATATATATATATATATATATATATATATACTTTCCCCCCCCTTTCTTATGTACATATTGTGTGAATGAATACTATAGCCCTAGTACCAATACCCTTCAGTGTGGCAGACTGTATTAATAACCAATAAAAAAAAAAATAAAAAAAAATTAAATATTGAACATATGAAAATTTTCAAAAATCAATATTTTGTATCTTCAATCTAATAGTCCGTGGAACAGACCCCTTTTTATCAAATTATTAGAATCCTCCTGAAACTTCGTAAAAAGCTTCATCTCATCGTAACCGACAAATATTTTATTTACGAAACTTCTTGGAATTGGGGCGTTTTCAATCTGGAAGGGGACAAAGTTTGTTTATTTAATTAGGTACTAAAATCTCGTAAATACCCATTTGCTTTCTACTTTTATTATAATTTGACGACAAAATCGAGAAAAGTGGCAAACTTTATTATTCGGTACTAAATAGTTTGCAAACTATTTAATTAGGTACTAAAAACTCGTAAACACCCATTTATTTTCCACTTGGATCGTAAGATAATTTGAGCAGGAAGTCAAGAAAAAATGTGGCCTTCAAAAATATTGAGCCGTTTGGCGTGATCTACACCCGGTTATATAGGCCAAAAGACCCAATATTTTTGTTGGGCATCTTTTTTCTCTAATTTCTGCTCAAACTCTCTTACGATCCAAGTAGAAAGTAAATGGATACTTCAGAGTTTTTAGTACCAAATTAAATAGACAAAGTTTGCGGAACTCCAGATTGAAAATGCCCCAATTCCGAGAATTTTCGTAAATAAAATGTTTGTTGTTAAAAATGAGATGAAGCTATTTACGAGGTTTCAGACGGATGGTAATAATTTGATAAAAAAGAGTCTGTACGACGGACTATTACTATGTATTTATTTTATGCAAATAACGTTATCTAAGCAGAAATATTTTAATTTATAATTTGCGTAGAGTCATTCAAACAATAAAAATAAAAAATTACATATTTTACATTTATTTAATCGTTTGAATGAACAGTTAAGAAGAAAGTAGGAAATTGACTAATAGAAAATTCTAAACTACTCGTTAAAAAATTAAAAGTTCATAGCTCAAAAGTAAAATCTTGAGAAGGCACCTATTGCATCCACATCCTCAAATATTTACGTTTTGTTTTATCTTTATTTAAGTCTCTTTACTCGGTCAAAATATAATTTAACAATCCGGCAAAAAGAATAAGAAAGTAAAATAAATGAAAATATGAATGAACGATCGAGGAGGTTATTCTACCATGTCATTGATCTAAATTAAGAGATCTCTCACCCATCTCCTTTTTCATTAAATTTATGGTTGTACTGATTAAAATATGAAGAAAAAAAAATAATGGAAACAATGAATAACCGTTTTCTTTTATTCAAGCTTGAAACCATGGTTACCATCCGTATAATATCCGTGATCTCAGCTAAAAACTAATGAATATTTTTCAGATGAATCCTTTCCTGGAACTAAAAAAAAAAAAATGAAAAAAAAAAGACAGATGCCCCTGGCAGATCGCAACGGAACAAACAATCAGTATTGGTTCCATCGTTTAGTTTCGTCGAATCATCCCCCTCTCCCCCCACCCCATCCACCCTCTCACTCTCCTCCTCCCCCCCTCCCCCCGACACAAAACTCAATTCTCCCTCTGTTCCCTTTCCTAATTACTTTCCAATCCCCGAAATTTATTTCCCCGTAATGAAAGATTTAATTTTCATTTATTTATAATGCACCCGCTTTAGAATCGTTGGCCGAAGGGGGGGAGCCTGAGTTTAAAAGTAAATATTAAATTCTGATTGCTTAATTTAACAACGGCATTATTAAAAATAGATATGGTAAAAACACCAGTAGCTGACAGTGTACCAATACCTGACACCAACTCGACAAATGGGAATAATAAAATTTCATGACCTCCTAGACCTTTATTTCATGAATTTGTTGCCTCTATATTTTCTCCTTGTGTATTTCTCTGTTTTGCTTTAGTCTTGCCGGGAATCGTTACCGAAGTAATGAGTGACAAATCTGAATATTCCCTCACAATTCACTTATTGTCCCAGGAACAACTTTGAATAAGGACGTCATACCTTTGATTTGTCTATTCCTCTCTAACTATTGTTATTTATCACAAATTTTTGTTTTATTTTTTCTTGGTAAAATCAATCACAATAATGTTTGTTCATCCCTCTTTGCTCAGCCTGCAGGCGTTCCTCAAGGTACTATCCTTGGTCCCATCGTCTTCACAGTTTATAAAGCTGAAATCTCAATCCATCCTGACACTATCATCATCACGTACGCCGATGTTTGCTACGTTTGCTAATAATGGCCCTTTAATTGCATCCCAAACTCTCCAATCACATATCACAAGCCTGGTTTAAAAATAATGGTTTAAGTGGACAATAATAGTTTAAAAATTGGAAAATAATAATAAATTCCAATAAATCCCATCAATTACCCTCCGCCGTAAACCTATGACTTCCTGTACTACAGTATCCTTCAATAATATTCCAATTATTCCTGTTGGAAAATCCGCTAATCTGCTACTCCACTTGGACAAACGTCTTACTTGGAATCCGCATATTAGACTGAAACGATAAGAAACTGCTCGACGTTTCCGACTGCTTCGACACTCACTGGACAAACGCTCCAAACTTTCAATTAATTACATAAGACTCATTTACATAGCTATAATAAGACCTATATGGACTTATGGAATTTAGCTTTGGGGCACCACTAAACCATCGAATTCCTATCGTATCCAATCATTACAATCCAAAATTCTTAATGTAATTAATATTTAATATAATACTTAATAATAATATTAAAATCCTTTTTTGTTTTGTAGGTAATTTAGTAATCTTTCAAATAATCATAATCATACTCATAATCAATAGATACAATCAACAAAAAAAGTATAGTTTTTACATTATTCGCAAATAAAGGTTCCTTTTTTTTAATAATTTTTTCCTAGAAATTTAGGAGAAATAGGCATATTTTTTCCAATTGAAGCAGAAAATAATTTTAAAAATGATGGCTCACTAATTGGATTTGATAAGGAATCTTTGACAAATTATTTATAAAGACCTCAGTGGTTAAATAGTGGTTTTATAGTAATATTTTGTCATAAATAAAACCATTCAAAACCTTAATGTTCTATATGTCACTAATTTATCCCGGGGCAGAGATCTATCCTCCTAGAATACAATGATGGTAGTTTCCGATATATATATATATATATATATATATATATGTATTTTTTTTTATTTTACCGAATATCTTATAGGTAAAAAATCACTGTGTGGTAATAATTAGTCCACCTCATAAAAAAACAATATAAAATATACAAAAAAAATCAATCAGTTCAAATTTGATGTATATTTTGGATTTACTTAAAACGATCTTCTTGAATGTTATAAAGTATAAGTATTTTATTCCTCAGCGAATAATATGCCGTATTAAATAGATATCTGTGTGTTTTTTTCTTCGGAGTAAACATTTAAAAATGATATTGGTCAGAAACAGTTAATAATTATCCGAAATAAAATGTAGAATTTCATCTGAAGTTAAATCCGAACAGTAATGAGAAAAGTTTTTCAATCCTCTTTCCCCGAAATCTGTTTTTAATGTTGTCAACCAACTTAAAGTGCCTGTTCCCTCGCTAAATGATTCTTTTACGAACACAAAGTCGTAACTAAGTCGAATATAACTACGACGTTATTTATAATATTGGCACCAATAAGTTTTCAAAGGCAGATAAAGTAGAAAAGGGAATAAGTTGTCTGTAAAAAATATATTAAATAACGACTAGTTAGAAGGCAGTGGCAGACGGAATGCCCTGAAGAGGAACTACAACTAGTGTTTGCACTTTGCAAGACCACCGCCAAACTGCTGCAACGCCGAGACCAGGAGTGGTCGAAAAATCGATTTAAAAAAAAAATAAGGCAAAATAGTTACTAATGATTGACAATCTTAGTTGCTATATGTTAATAATTGGTGTAACCAATATCCTTTTGCATTTAATTCCTCTAATTTTTCATTCAGGCTAGTTAGGTTTTTCCTATCTTAATAATTACAGTAATATCTCTATAGTAATAAGTAACTGCAAGAGTCAGTTGCGAGACTCGTTCGCAGACTAGCTGTTGCAAGACAGACTCTTGCAAGACTAAGACTCGTCTCGGTCTCGCATTTGGGCAACACTACCTACAACGTAGGTCGTAATGGATAATATAATAAATATACTTTTATATAATACAGTATTTTATATATTAACCGCACTCCCGACTAACTTCTTCTGAAATTAGAATCTATGGTCAACCATTTCCATAGCATTATTTATTTTTTACTTTATAAAATAGACACACTATTGTAAAAAATATGTACTAAGAACATGGAACAGCATTGATAGAAACATTTTGATATTTTTATTAAATAAATTATTCCAGTATGACTTCTATACTCTCATTAATATTGGCCAGAATGAAGGGCAAATTGAAAATTTTCATTTAATTGTATATCATACAATCAATAATCGGAAAACCTAATGGAGTAGGGGTAAGTGAATAATCGTCCTATAAAATCCAAATCCTGAACTGATGTGAGTTGCCCATTACGGAGCATGAATCGTTAACACATATATTTGACTTATTAGCAGCGATAATTCCCTAAAAGTAATAGTATATCCAGAATTTATTTATTTTTTAAATAACGCTAATTACTCTGAAACTACTGTCTAACGCTGTATAAAAACTAACTATATGAAATGAAGTTTAAAAAAAAAACTGTACCAAATTCTTTCCCAACAATATAGACTCAAATAACTTGGGCCACAATAATTTCAACAAATGACCAAACTATCAGATATACGCCAGCAATTAAGCGCGAACAGAATTTTATCTTTCTTCCAAGGATTCTGAAATCTCCAAAAAAACTCTTTAAAACTGAAAATATAGTTCTTATCAATGCTATCGAAAATAATTGCTAGTTCTGATAGGCAGTTGCCTCTGGAGTTGCAAACTTTTTTAATTTAATGATGTACTAAGGGTTCGTAATTTAATGTGATCATAAAGTTAAGGGAAAAGGATCCAAACAAAATTATTGGGCTGTTTGAATATTGGGCGTAATATTTTTGTAGGCCACATTGTTCCCCGATTTTGTGATCAATTTTTTTTTACGATTGAAGATGAAAGCCAACGGGGTTTCTTGAATTTTTAGCAATTCACTAAATTAGTAAATTTTACCGCCCCATTTTTTAAAATCATCTTAAAAAAAGTTGTAGGTTATGACAAAATGAAGCCATTCTCGAAGTTTTAGATGGGTGTTAATGGTTTCATAAAAAGAGCGCGGGCTATCACTAATTATAACTTATTTGTAAACATAAAGCTTTTCATTTTGGCGATTTCTTTGAACATGCAACTGTACCGAATTTCTCAAAATCTGTTGCAGTAGTAAATTTTAACTTTTTTAAAAACTATTTAGGCATGATATTTACAACTGTATTACAATATAAATACAGTAAATGTGTACAAAGGAATATAATCTCATGAAAACGCTTGCTGATAAACTACCCACTGGTAGCATTCCAATAATATGTCTACATAAGGAGATCACGAGGCCATCTTTTTTTTAGACTTCTTGGAGTGTTATCAGGAATCGAAGAGGAAGCAACGTTAGAAACAAGAGAATTCGGATGGTTATGAAGTTTATTATGGCAGGATAGGTATCTGGATTAGGCCAAATCGGAAACATATGGAACAATAAGTTCTTTATGGATTATTTTATTTGTGACAAAGTAAGGAGCGTTGAGGGTTTTACGAAGGATTTCGGATTGTAAGGATTGAATACGAGAGGGATTTAATGGTTTAGTGGAGCTCCGTAGCTCAAGTCCTTAAGTTCAAACAGGTCGTATTATAGTAATGTATATGAGTCTATCGTTATTAATTGGAAGTTTAGAGCGTTTGTCTAATAAGTGTTGAAGTAGTCAGAAACGTCGATCTTGAAATTTCATTTCAGTCTTGTATGAGGATTTCTTAGGTATCGGATTTGTTCAACAGGGATAAGAGTAGTAAATAAAAACACAGAGTAATGGAATGTTGGGCTATTATGTTAAGACAGTGATAATAACAAACTATATGAAACAAAATAATATATTCATGCACTAGAAATCTGGTAATATTAATGTATTAATTATTATTTTTTTTTAGAGTAGGTAAAGACGTCGCACAGATAACTTTTACTGCCGGTGACTCGAAAGATTCTACGACGCAATCCTTGGACGGTTCGAAGAATACATGAATCTCTAACAAGGCTCCTAGGTCGTGTCCAAGTTGTCCATCCATTTCCGACAGGTCAACAGGATCTCCGCAGTTGGTTCTCCTGTACAGAGATTGCATGCAGTAAAGTAAAAATGGAGGAGATAATATTGCGCATTTTAATAATAAATTATTCTTAACCCGTATGCATTGGTTATTGATAATATGGTAAGCGGTTTACTAAAACATATCTATTTCGGATCCAAATACGAACTTGTTTGTCTAAAAATGACTAATCTACTAAGGCTTGATATAAAAAAATAATATAAATTATTAAATATATAACATTAAAAATTAAGGAAATAGACGAAACATAGATGAGAGTGATGAATGGCAATGTAACATTTAAGGGCCTTCAAAACATTCGAAATCTTCTGTCGTCAGAAAAATTAGATTTACTGTAAAAAAGCTACAATGCCGAATAATTCCAAATAGGGAGAGACAGATAATTGATTTCATTAATTTGCAAATTTAACACGAGATGAGGAAAGAACTCTAGTTTCATCTTTCCAAACCAATGATTCTTCGAAATGATTTTTCTTCAATGATTCGAAGAAGCTCAGAAGTGATATACACACCAGCGAGTCACCCAGAATTTATCAAGCATTCGAGAATCAAGCCATGCCCATATGAAGTTGAGTACTTTAAAAGCCAAACTTTTACAAACCACTCCGAAACGGGATGCATGCACTCCGTTCTATCCACCCCTACAGTGGGGGGACAAAAAGTGAATAACCCGTGTGGTCAAATACTCGCTTTCCAGTCAAATCTTTTACAATTTTTTTTTTTTTTAATTTCTTTTTTCTCCATTTTGGAACTGGCTTTGTTTCTGTAACGATTTTATCGTTAATAACAAAGTTATGGGTTACTACAATAAATTTGATTACTTTTACCTAACTAATACCAGTTTTTCAAAGTAAGTAAAAAGCTAAAAGTTATAAGTAATGATTCTAAAAGATGATTTGGCAGAAATATGATTTAAAAAAAACATAGAGCATTATATCTTTGTCTTAGGCATGCAAAAAAAAAAATTGAACCGAAAATATAATTCTCACTCAAAAAATCTCGCAATTTTTTAATATCTCCTGAAAATATCTAGTTTGTTCTTTCAGGCTTTGCAGTGTGACAGTCGATATACAGCAGATAGTAAAATCTTTTATAGAATAACATATAGCTATTTATGATATTCATCGATGAACTAAAAATCTATTAAAACAATTGAAAAGTCTATTGTAGTCTTAATTAAAAATCTGTCAGAAAGGAGGAGTACAACTATAAAATCCAATGAGAACTTGGAACAGAATGTATAGAAACATTTTGATATTTTTAATAAATAAATTATTCCAGTATGACTTCTATACTCCAATTTATACTGCCCAGGGTGAAGGGCAAATTGCAAATTTTCATTTAATTACATTTCATACAATCAATAAGAGGAAAACCTAATATGGTAGATTAATGTGGGTTAAGTGAATCATTGTCTTATTAAATCCAAATCCTGAACTGATATGAGTTGCCCATTACGGAGCATGAATCGTAAACACCTATATTTGACTTATTAGCAGCGATAATTCCCTAAAAGCAATAGTATATCCAGGATTTATTTATTGATTTTTTAAATAATGCTAATTACTTTGGAACTACTATCTAACTCTATATAAAAACTAACTATATATTTTATTATTTTTTAGATTTTCTACTAATAGTGAATTTCCTCAACCTAAAGTGCGTAGATGGTCCATTCTTCCCGTAGACTATGACCCATCACCGATTCCTCCATTTCGTTATCCCAGGTCTTCCTTGGCCTTTCTCGTCTTCTTCTTTCCCTAGTTTTCCATAAGTGGACTTCTTTGGGTAGTCTTCCTCCAGCCATTCTTTTCAAATACCCATACCACTTCAGGCGTTTTATCTCAATCTCTTCCAGAATGATTCTTTTAGCCTCCATTTTTTCTCTGATGGTCGTATTTCAGACGTTATCCATTCTGGATATTCCCGCCGCTCGTCTCTAGTAGTCCATTTCGGTGGCTACAAATCATGTAGGGTCTTAGGGTCAGTTCTTTATCGTAAGGAAATGCTATTAATGGTCAGCGGTTGTGCATGCAAATGTATTAAATGAAATCTTACTCAACCGACTTTCCCTCTTAATTAATTATTTAATTAAGGGTGTCCACAATAAAGCCACTGGGTGTGCCCCAGGAAGGTCTCCAACTCCAGGGATGATCCACCGCCGACGAAACAGAATAAATAATTTATTTGCAATCAGACAGATTCGAATCTGGGACCTTAAGCATTGTAAGTCAGTAACCTACCACTGAGCTACCCCATTCCCTGAGATGTTGTTTAAGTGCTCTAAAAAAAAAAAAAGAGGGATCTACTTTAATCCACATTTCGTTTACTCTTTCATTCGCTTTATTTACACTTTTTCTATACACCTAATGTAAACGTAATTTAAATCAATTTTGTATTTCAATTTCAGAAATAAATTTTGGTTTATAACAATTTCTGTGAAACCTTTTAAGAAAAAAAGTTTTTAAACTAAAGTCCTAAGTAGTTTTTTTTTTAATTTAAGTTTCTAAAAAAGTTACATTAAATAAGAAATAAATATTCATTGGGGCTCATGTGCCTAATGAGTCATTTGATTGAGTAGCTGAGAATGAAACTAACTTATTAGACGTACATTTTGGACAGATCGACAGAGCTACTATTTTTTTTTTTTTTTAATAAAAGGTCTGTAAAACCTTCACTTAAAAATTTGTGAGGGATAAAGTTCTGGTTCCAAAATAACAGTAAAAAATTGAAAATATAGATTACAGTCATACTGAAACTGATTGCAAAGCCTTGATCTGATACAAAGCAGTTTTAAGCCTTGATTTAATTGACTTATTCTGTAAAGACAAAAAATGTATGAATTTGATCGATTTTCGATAACGATCGAGATATAGGTCAAAAAGTTATAAGATTAAGGGTGTAGTTATTCTATAGGGGTATTATTTTAAACTTGAGGTAAAAATAAAATGTTAAAAATTATTTTATCCTTATTTGAAATACATCTAAGCTTGTGAACTTTATCAAAGTTTTCCGATCATTTCATTAAGTAGGTAGTGAGTGATCATCAGTTAAAAAAATCAGATGAAAACGAATAATATAATAATTGGTGATTTACTTACATAAATAAATAATCCGAAATCAGGTGGTTTATGAAAAAAAAATCTCGAATTAAAAGATTAATACTGTTAAATCTGCAATAATATAGAGGAAAATGAAAACCCAATCTGTATAAACTTGTTAATTAGGTTAATTGGGTGGATAGGGGTTAATTGGGGAATTAGAGGCTGTGATATCTGGGCCACGCTGGATTTGCCAAGGGATAAAATTCCCTCCCCCCTCCCTCCACTCAAACAAGATCGGATTAAGGAGGATTTGTCATAATAACCGGGAAAAAGGCCGAACGATCATAAGGTATATACACCTCCAGTAAAAATCTATAAATATATATACGTGTTATTTTCTGCAAAGATAAATGTTTAATAATTTAATACTTGGTGTAGATACCATGTACCGTTTGGAAAATCCAACGGCTGTGGAAGCAGATGATTTGGCCGATATCGCGCTCAACTGCCAGATTTTGCTTATGGGATACACAATTATCTGTCTCAGACGTTCTTTAGTCTCAGGCCAGGAGATAGAAGCACAATGCCTTTAGATACTCAGTTACACCAATAAAAATAAAAACACAAAAATAAAGTGAACCCACAGCAAAGTCAACGGATGGTTTAAAATTACATATTGATGTACTCAGAAAGGCTCAATAATCAGTTCTCTTAAATACAGCACATATTTTCCTAAAATGTTGAATTGAATATTTAATAGTTGACCGTTACATTATAAAGGAAGGAGATGGTCCAGAGTGACGGTCATAAATAGGCTGAATAGTGGCAAAACTATTTTATTAAAAGCCAAAGTTTCGACACAACTTTGCAGGTCTTCTTCAGGGCTAGAACGGACAAGATACAAAAAGATATAGAGAATTGTGGAAGTTACATAATATTTAGACAAAAAATTATAAACAATGTGAATAAGCTTATTAAAATTATAAACAGTAAGTACATTAAAATATAAACAGAGTAAGCCAAGTAACAAAACTGAAGTAAATAGATGATAAAAATTGTTATAGTGTAATATATAGTATATACAATTGTGGATATACTTCTACAGATCTGCAGGTGAGATTGGAAGAAAAGGAAAAAGGATGTAATATGAAATAGTAGACATAAAGGAGTGTGGAGAAAGAACAAAAAATAAGTAAATAAAATTAAAAGAATAAAAATAGAGACTTGCAGATGTGTTCAGCTAGAAGTTTCATTAGAACTGGAAAATCAGGATAAGGGTAGGTATTGGGGAAATTCGTTTATCTGTTTGGGTATAGAAAAAAAAAAACCTAGAAAATTACAGCATATAAAATTTGAAGATATGGATGGATACAAGGGAAAAATACTATATCTATGAAATAATAAATTATAAATATATGCATATACATATAAAATAGAATTAAGAGATTATAGATAAGAGTACAATACGAATAAAAACAAAAATGGAAGAGGTAAAACGTACATAGAAGTAAAATATAAATATAGAAATAAGAGACGATACATTGCAGAACTAGTTAAGAAGTATAGAGAGGAAAAAAATATGAATAATTATAATTATATTTAGTTGTGCATATGTAAGAAAATTACATCTAAATATTAGATAATATTGAGACATAGTTAAAAAAGTTAAATGAATACAAAGTGAAAACGGATGATATTACATTGATGTAGAATGTAAATATAAAATTAAAATAAAATAAAAGAGAGATCAATCAAAGCGGAAATACTTAGAATAATGAACAATTAAATTAAATTAATCAATAAATATTGAAAGTAGATAAAAATAATACGATGTAATATGTAAGTTATTTTTCACTTATAAGATTTAAAATGTGTCTATATGTTGAAGAAATGCACCCATCCCGGACCATGTCTTTCCTTTGAAAATGTTTAATATTTGAAAAAATATTATGAAAGTGGCTAGACTTCTTGTCTCCCATTTCTGGTTTTCAGCCCGCATTCACAATAAGAAACGAAATAAATAATATAAAACATAA